GCACTCCATATTTACTTACTGAGTTTATCTCATAGTTTTTCCTTGTCCACCATTTCAGGAAGTGAAACTGAGGACGGGGAAACCACGGGAAGTGATGAGTTAGAAAGCTAGCCATTTTGAGATTAATATAGATTTTTAGAAATAAATCATGATCTTGTAAACTAGAGTGTATTGGAGATTTTATGATATGAGAGAAAATTTGAAAGATTTGATTTTCAGATTTTGATGGTATCGGAGTATGAATTTGATAACTTCCGATCCTTGTGCACTTGTGGGACCCGTCTCACAAGTGTACGACGTCTGTCGCACCTCGAATTTGGGTTTTAGGTCGTGACAAGTGTATTGGTTTCCAACCTTACCAACATAACGTTTCACCATTTTGTTAGCTTGCTGGGCTATCTTGACTAGATTTAAGCAACAATAAGCTTGTCTACCACCACCTTTGCCACATCCAGATCAAAGTTGGAGTCTTTATAATAAGTCTCATAAGATGCAGATTTACTTTGTGTGTCTTCTTTAATAAGTTTTCATAACGGGAAACTTTATAAAATAACTCAAAGAAATCACAAAACTCCATTCCCTCAAATTTCTTCCTTAGCTTGATGTTCAAACCATTTTGTGCCAGCTTAACAAACTCCTGTTCCAGCAAGGCAACTCTACACTTAAATCTAGCTTTTTGAAATCTGGTGAGGAAAGCTTTAGATGTTTCTCTAGGTCACTGCACCAAATGAGAAAAGTCTGCTATAGACACTTTTGGTTCACTATAGTAAAACTAATTATGGAAAAGAACTTTTATCTGCCTTCAAGGGTAAACTAAATTTTGTGGCAAACTCAAATACCATGTGAGAACTGCACCAGTTAGAGAACTTAGGAAAAGTTTGAGCTTCAAATTATTATCATTGGAGGCCTTGCCACACTAAATTGTGAAGTAACCAATGTGTTCAATTGTAGAATATCCACCATCTTTAGAAAATAATGTGAATTTGGAACCTTAAATGTCCTTGGGAAACGCTTTTCTTAATTTATAAAATCTAGATATGATTTTCTATAAACTAGTCTAATCAAGGGCTTTAAAACTAGACCACAAACCTCATACACCAAATCAATGTTCCAATCATGGTTGATGTACTAGCTTGGCAGACCTTGATTATTTTGTTGGATTAATGGCACATAAGGTTGAAAATGCTCCCTTTTGTGGAGGTGCATTATGTTATGGAGGTGCATTATGTTATGGGTAACCTTAATTTGGTAGGCATTGAGGTGGCAAATATTTGGGCTACTATGGATTTCATAATTCGGCCACACATTTGTGACTTCAACTAGTTCTGGCTATACCAGTTCACTTATTCGCCGTTAATTATGAGGTGGTAGTTGTGACAGATTAACTTGCACACCAAGTGTTGGAGTTGGAATATTTTGGTTCTACCTATGAGGATCTGTTACTTGTCACTAAGCTTTAATTCTGGCAACAACTAGAAAAGCTCCTTGATTTTCTACACTTTGCTCTTGCCAAACTCTTACACTTTCCTCAATAGAACACTGCATGCTAGCTACAACTAAGACCAAATTTTGAATGAACTCATCAAATCATTTGGCTTGCTCTTGGCTTCTCTGCTGAGCTCTTACCTCAAATTCCAACTGTGTTCATCACATCATGTTAATCTATTCTAACATAACCTTTATAAGGGAGTCACTTGATTGAGCACCATCATCTTTGGAGCACTACCTTGTTAAAGTTTGGATTGACAAAGGCATATTCCCCAAATGCTAGTGATAATGGTGGAATTACTGGCTCATTCTCTCCTTCTAAATGTGCTAGACTGCCTTTACCAACCTCAATCTATAAGGTCTAAGCAACTTTCCCAGTGTTCTTTTTTGGTTGTATAGCTACACCTCTTCTTGGATAAAGGAAAAGTAGATATGAAAATTGTAGGTAAGACACGATGAGGTCCCATCGAGCATGCCACAAAAGGATTATTCCCTCGAAAATCCTCAAGTGACATCGCACGTACAGAATTTAAATGCAAACATGCCACTTACTTTGCTATAAAGTAAGAAAGGAGGATTTTCCCAATGACCCTTTCTTTTCTCGTAGTTGACCTCCTTATGAATGGCTAAAAGAACGTTGATTTAAAATCAAAATATGCACCTTCAGATGATTTGTAAAAGGGAGAGATTTCTTTCTGCAGAATGAGTTGCTAAATTTGTCTTGGACAACTCTAAAGACTTAAACACTATCGTGAATTAAAGTTAATAAATCATAAATGAACTAAATAATATGCAAATTAAACTTACAAATAAAATATGCATCCAAGTTAAACTAAGCATGTTCATTGTCAGATTAAACTATTATCTACAAATAGATTAGGAAATCAAACTACTGCAAAATTGGAGATTTAATCTTAAATAATCATTAACCTAATAACTAACGACTTGTTAATTCAAATGAAAGGAGCTCAGTTCCCTTAAACAAAGTCTCGAGAGTCTTGCGAATAGAAAAACAGATACTGGGAGAACTTTCCCCCTTATCGGGTCCAATATGGCTTTATTTCGGATTAGTCGGAATCCAATGTGATTACCGGATATCGAAAGATTAATACAAAAAAAAAAATCATGAACCTAATATGAACAGAGATTAAACTAACACGCCAAAAATTAAGGAAAAGTGTGAACATCATATAAATAATCATTTGGAGTAGCGCTACTTATCACAAACATTAAACTAATACTAGTTAGAAAAAGAATAATACCTTATAGAAATTGAAAAGCTTGATGTTCATTACACAAAAGGAAATTTTAGAACCATCTACAGAACTAATTTGGCTATTTAAATGTTGAAAACAACCTAAATCTTCTGAAATCTATGCTGAAAATCAAAATCTGTAAACTAAAGTAAGTAATCACTATGGAATTAGAGAATTAAAAATTTGATGAGTTGTGTATGTTGGGTTGGCCATGTGTTGAATTATCAAAAACTTTCCTTTTGTTTGTTTCCTCCCCACTTGCAACTCCCCACTACCAGGCGGTTACACAAATTTAGGTGGTAAAATGGACACCTCAACAGTAGACTAAGTCAAATCTTCATCCAATTGTCATATGTTGTTGTTATCTGTCAACTCAAAATTTTAACTAAAAGAAAGTCCTAAAATTCAGTTGAAACAATTTTAGCATGACTGAAATAGGCAATTAAAGGATAAATCTCATCTCTTCAACCCCTTTTTCTTTTTTTTTTATGACACCTGATTTGTCAAGGATTTCAGAACAACATATCTAATGTAGTTTAATTTCATCCAATTATTTAAAAAAAAGTTAACATGTGGCATAATCTTAAGTTTTGCAATTTATGGTGTAAAAAGCTATAAGGTCTTTGAGGGTAAGAATCTAGCCACTAGAATTGTTGATGGATGAATCGTGTTGTGGTTTTGGATTCTCGTAATAAGAGGAATAGCTCAATTTGCAGGTAAAAAATTGTAAGCAATTGTTCTCTCAACTCATATGCAAGGGGGAAAAAAATCATGGTTCATGGACCAATTTTGGAGTTAAAAATGAAGCGATATTCTAGGAAATGAAACAGACAACACGTGGTGTTCCTTTCAATGAACAGAGAGATGCCCTGATGTCCTGAATGCTATTGTTGACCCTTTTCTTTTCAAATCAAGAGAATTCTGAAATCATGAATCATAGAAACAGCATAAATGCAGGAGCTTCAATTGGTAGTCACCAAAAGATAGCTCTGTTGTTGCATCTTCATGACTTTACTGAAGATCAAGTGCTTGTGTTGGAGTTTCTCCAAGCAGGACATTTTGTGGATGATTGATTTCTTCAAACAATCCAACATCAACATGGGTCAAAGGGGAATAGGAAATTACTTACAAAGAAAGGAAGGATGAAACATGAGGAAATCTTTTCTTTTTCTGACTGCTTAGAGTTCAGCGCAAGAAGCAAACAACATGATACTAACAACTGAGAAAGTTATCACAGCCATTTTCATTGAAATCTGAAGATACATCAGAAACTGTGACTGCACAAACTTGGTGATGAGGGAAAAAAATTGCATGGAATTCGTTCCTACCCTTGTTATTTCTTGCATTTACTTTACCTCACACTTTCAAGTCAAGAACCTTTTGACCCAAACCAGGCTGCAAGATGATATGTGGGAGAAGGAAGGGTGGTTGGCCTCTCTAAAATTACAGAAAAAGTTGGAGACTGATAGAGAATGAAGCAGTAGGTCGAGAGCTTCACAGAACTACTGTAGAATATTGAGCCTTCTGGTAAGCATCTTCCCTTTGCTGTGACAATTTGCATTTATGGTTTGATAGCGGATAAAATCTGGGGGGAAAAAAGGGGGGGGGGAGTACTTAAATCTTCTGCATTCCTCAAAATAAGTATATGCATCTGAAACAATACTACTAATAACTACGACAAAACATTGGCATGCAATTGAAGGGAAATACCTTATTTGTAAATATGCAGAATACATCTGTTCCCATAGCTTTGTCAAGTTCCTAACAAGAGGTTAAACTGTAGTTAGCAAATAGCAAATGTATCTCAGAAGACAATTCTCTGAGATCATCAATTTTGAAGAATGCTCACATTAATTGGATCCGGGGACTTATCAATATCACAGATAAGTTTCTGAAGATGTTCATCTTTCAAAGCATCACGAATTTCACTGGAAGAAGCTGCATGAACAGGCATGGCAGATGAAAGATAGAAGGTTCTCAATATGGTCTCTTGCTGAGAACACATGCAAACAGTTTTATCATTCTGACTGGCAGACCACAAAAAAGTACGTCATTCTTACTAGCATTCTTTAGCAGGATGAGATATAAAGCCTTCTAAATTATGAATGGAAGCTGAGCCCATATGAGTCAGCTCATAGGAAATATTACTTCCATATATGAAGAAAAATTATAAACGAATGCCAATGACATTAACAAGAAAAATAGGCTAGCAAGCGAATTATTGGCAAAAAAATGCATGCTAAATGTTGTAACTGAATGGCAATGACATTAACAAGAACAATGAGGCTTGCAAGACAACATGCTTGCTAAAAGTTATCAAATTGTCATTGGACTAGTTTAAAAACCAAAACTCCATAATCATATAGCTTGCTCATTCAGATGTTCTCTTTCTAAGTTTTAATGTTAAATTATATATGCTCAGTAACAAAAGCTAGAATCATAAACCCGGCCTACCAGTTACAGGTTTCCCTTTCCTCACAAAATTACATCTAGGACTCCATATAGCCCTCACCCCTTGCAGACAAGCAGAGAACCAACACAAAGATTTGTGTCATCATTTTTTGTTTCTACTTCTTGGTCTCTACAATGTTTTCCAACATTTATTTCGTAGTTGCTCACAAGAACAAATGCCCTATTGTTACAGAGGTCATAAACCCTTCTCCCCTTCAAGATAGGCAATAATATTATATATGTTACAGGCTAGTTAATAATTATACCTATAGCCTCTAGCTGCAGTTTTTGCAACACCTCACTTGGTCCATCAACATCTACTGGCCTTTCTAGCTGAAATTCTGGAACAGCAGCTGAAAAATTGAAACAAACAGAGTAAAGAGCACATTTTGGAGATAGAAAAATTATTTATTCTTAAAGTTTTATTTACATTTTAGTTGCTAACATTGGGTTGTCCAAGATACAATGATATCTAAAGCTCATCCTAAAACTAGAGTCTGTAAAATGACCTCAAGAGCATTTCTTTGCCTAAATTCAAAAAATTGATTCAGGTGAAAACAAAATTATTCAGTTTTATGTGAAACCAGTCAACCACTACTAGTAGTAGCAAATGACAGAAGGGTCATAAGAGAGCTAATGCCCCTTAAAAATGTTGAGGTAATCAGTAATTTAAACTTGCAGTTTGAGTAGTCTTCTTACTGTATTCTTCCTCAACAGATTCTGACTTCGCAAAGGAGGTCTTTGAATCATTTATAAACACATTATTTCTCATGAATGCAAAAGAATCAGGGTGATAGGAACTTACAATATATGCCAAAAAGATCAAACACATCTTAACAAGACAAGAAACACCGAAAAATAGTATGGAATTCAGCAATTGGAAGAAGAAACTTCTTACTGGGTTTTTCCTCAGCAGATTCTGGCTTGGAACAGGGGATTTCTGCATCATATATTAGCACTCATTAGTTCTTTTGTCTGGTACCACAAATGAGGAGGCTCTCTTCAGCTAAAAGTATGAGTTTAATACTATATCTATCAGTTTAGTTTCGTTAGCTAGCAAACTGCACACCAAAGTGACCCAACAAACTACAAGAATTGTTGATTTTCCAGTTACTAACAATGGATAACATGGGTTTCAAATCCATCTTCTCATCTAAGATTAAAACATCATCAAAACCAACACCATAATCATGCATATGCCCCATAAAATAGTTTAAATAACCTTTTTCAGATCTCAAAAACCAAGAATATTTTTGAGATATCAAATTTACATACAAGAGAAAGATAGAATCAATGACAGCTCTAATTCCAGTTCAGCAGACCATTTAGCACATCCAAAGCAGGATTAAAAAAAAATCAAGCACAGAAACAAATTAACAACCAAATTGTTAGTTTCATACCTTTGTGCTTCTTGTAACAGAGGAGAGAACAGCTGCAAGCAGGTAAAAGAAGATGAAAAACAGAACAAATATAAATACCCAGAAAAAATCGATGGGAGGAAATAATGGGAAGAGGGTGATAGAGCCGCAGAGCTTACTAAGGAAGAAGGCAACCAGGGCACTTATATTTGGATTGTACTCCGTTGCACACTAGACACTGCCGGGAACTTCCTCCCATTGCTTCCGTTAATTAGCCCCAGAATAGAATCACAGAGTTTTAGAAGTACCAGCTCCGATCAATGAGGAGAGGAGGAAAGAAAACGTACGCGGACGAGACGACGCTATTCGTTGTTCTTCTCGACTAGGTCCCGACAGACGGTGCGTCTCCAGGTTCTAGAGTTCTGTTTGCCTGAGAAAATATATATTTTTTTTACCAAATCTTTTTATTTTTTGGTAAATAGAGCGGGAGCAATGCTAGGGGCACTCTCTTTTGGCACTCTCCGCTCAACACTTTCTCTTTTATTGGGTCACGTTATCTTGGTTACTAAGAAGTTGCGCTGAAAGCTTTTAAAGAAGCTTACGTGGCCCAATGAAAAGGGAAGTGTTTGCCGGAGAGTGCGAAAAGCGACTGCCCCTAGCATTGCACATAGAGCGGATTTCATTAAAGCTTAAACCTAGGTACTGGGCAACAAACCCCTATAATAAGAAAACGGTGCCAATAAAAATATCAATAAAAATATCAATTTTATATTTATTTTTATTTAAAATTATTAATTTTTAAATAAAAATACTAATTTTTTTATTTAAAAATATCAATTTTTAATATTTTAGTTAAAAAATTAATTTATCATATTAATATTATCATTTAATTAATTTTTAAATATAAAAAATTAAAAATTGATATTTTTTAATATAAAAAATTAAAAATTAATATTTTTATTTAAAAATTAATAAAATTAACAACTTTAAATAAAAAAATATAAAATTAGTACCCTTACATATTTTCTCCCGACAATGTCAGCAGAAACATAACAAACCCACATCAGGACAGCAGCCATAAAA